AGCATATCGTCCTGCGGCACACGCAACGCCTGAGGCTCCTGCGGCATGCGCGGCATATGCGACTGCAGTGGCTCCTGTGGCTTCTGTGTGTCCTCGATTAGATCATGGCCCGTCTGATCTTCCAAGCTCTTTGCTGCTGAATTCGACTGTGGAAAGCGTCCTCGGGCTTTTTGACTCGCCTCGTAAATGATCCTGCCAATGGCCGCCGCAGGGGCATAGTCGGCATTCAACCCTCGCTCTTCCCGGGCGTAGACGGGCTCCGTGGCTCGCCGCTGCATGTGTTCGATCTCAGCCTCGGTAGCAGATTGGTGAGCCTTCCTCGCTTCCGGCCGAACATTGGTCTCGTCATTCACCGCAAGGGGAAGCGGAGGCAGCTCCTTGCTGCGTGATTGCGCAGCTGGTGGTGGTACACCTGCCGTGGCTTGGGGAGATCGAGTCAGGTCCTTGTACTGGTGGTTCTGGGCAGGCTGCTGCTGCGCCGGTGGCTGTCGTCGCTCGGCTTCAGAGCGTATTCGATGCCACACTTCCTCCGGAGGCTCTTTTCTCAGTTTGTTGCTTCCATTGCGCGTCAACGAGAAACCGCTCGATTCCTTCGAGGACTGGTTCGCGTCCGCATCATGCGGCCTCCCCTCGCGGGAGGCGTCCCGTTCCCGGAAGCTGAGATTGCGCTTAGGAACATCCGCTGCCGGGATGAATGTCCGCTGGTCCATGCTCGCAGCCCGAGAGTGGTGAGGAGCCTCTTGGCTGGTGTATCGACGTTGGTCGTCGAATCGCGGGCCCTCTTGCGGGTATCTGCGCTGTTCATCACGTATAGGCGGTTGAGGTAGCTGTCTTGGTTGTTGGCCTTCACGTACAGGTGGCTGGGGCAACTGCCTCGGCTGCTGCTCCTCGCGCACCGGGGGTTGAGGCAGCTGCCTGGGTTGCTGACGGGGCACATCTTGATTCTGGCGGTAGTATTGGTCGTCGGCGGCGCGTTGTGGTTGCGCGACCACGGCTTTGGACGGATTGAAATCCCGCTGAGACGCAGCTCTTTGAGGCTTCGGGGGCGTCGACTCAAGCGCTGCCGCGGGAGGCTGTTGTTGACGTTGGACAGGAGCCGGGGGCGAGAGCGGCTGGTTGACGGCGTGAGAGCGGCTTTCGGCAGCTTCAGCAGCCCTCTTGGCAGCCCTCGCTCTCGCGCGTGCCTCTGCAGCCTGCACCCGCGCTCTCTTTTCCTCCTTGGTCATGCTATCGAGCGTCAGCTCAAGCTTCTGGAGAGGTGATCGATGGTCTGCCAACTTTTTGCGCCGTTCGGACTGTCCAGAGAGCGGGCTTCCCAGGGACTGGGCAGATGCCATGCTATCTGTTCGAGCAAGTCCACCATCAAAAAGCGTCGGGAAAGAAGAAAGATCAATGGGGTTCATTGCCTCTGCTCCCGGTCGTGAAGGTTGTCCAGACGTTGAATGATATGATCCATTTGC